AAATTCAGCACAATAGTTCCTAGAGGGAACATGGAGAGGTCGAACTGTAAGGATATATAGTTATCAATGGGATTGGTAGTACGCATTACTAACAATCCCCCCCTCCCCTTGAGAAATCATATTTAATAATGTCATTATTTTCGACAATTAGTAATTGATAGTAAAGTAATCGTGCAGTGTTTGTTACTTTTTAATTTATTGTTATTAATTTAGTTTGCGGCCATACTTACTACATTCTCTGTTCGAACCATCACATCACGTTGTTTCTTGAGCTTTTATAATTTATGCCATTATAACATGCTATGGCTAGGGGGAGAAGGGATTGTTAGTAATGCGGATCAGTTCCATTGCTATTAATATACCCTAACAGGTCGACCTCCCCGTGGTCTCCCCTGGAAACCATCGTGCTGAATTCCAAGTGTATTCATCACGATGGGCTTAACTGACCTGCCTTTTCATTCTCACTTATCTCTCACTGGTGCCTCGCCAGCGTATACCGTTAGCGCAGGCGGGGTTACAATTCCATTATCATCCATTAAAAAAAAAACATGCTATGGCTAGTTTTGTCCTGCGACTCTCCCCTCAGGAACTTTTATTAGTATATGCAATATTTTTTATTTTTTCCCCAAGTTTCATTGGCAAATGATGCTATTTAGTATGGAGTCCACTATTTGTATTATATACGTACATATTAGTTTTTTGAGTGGTCAATAAAATTTTATATAAATAAAACACAATTATGAAAACCGCATCCAATTTGGTGCAGTAGTTGTTTTGTGACGCCTGATCAGACGTACATACAGACAAAAATTATAAAATAAGCTTGTATCTTTAATATGTATTTTTTTCTATATCTATTATTTTTGCTGTGTGGTCCCAGCGTAGAGGGGTTACTCCTTCTTTTCTTGTGTGTAGTAAGTAACAAGTAATATTGGCTGTACGAATATTTTATTGGAAAAATTTAGATTTTCTACAGATCTACCTGTGAGCAGCTGGGGCGGAGCGCTAGTTTTGTATATACAGGCAAACATAATTTTTATCTTCTATTCTAGGGAGTGTTCTACCAGCTATGCTGCATGATTTAACCGAATATGTCAATTAATGACAAATCATTTAGCCTCTTATACTTATTGACGTGGCGCATTAATGGGAGACAACATTACATGTTGTTTTAGATTTTCTGATTAATTCTCGTTCTAATATCATCGCAGTGTAGGACGCCTGAAGTTTAGAACTTCACAAAGGTAGACGCAGTGGATTATAAGATCATTCATGCACTCTAAAGCGTTTAACTTAATAATTAAAAAGAGATAAAATTTAAACAACTTTATTTTCTATGTCTCAAAATCAACAAGGACAGTAGTCATGGAAACTAGAACAAATTTACCAAGATAAGTCACATCACTAACATAGACCAAGTAATAGTATCTATGATCTCAAAAATACCTATCTATTACAACGCCCCTCACTAGATACGAGTGACGACCTCAAATACATTGCAGGAAGTCAGTGGATGCAGATGGCTCAGGACCATTTCTTATGGCGGTCTACGGGGAAGGTCTATGACCAGCAGTGGACGGATAATGGCTGTTATATTTATACTTACAGACGACTCTCGTTCAAGATGCAAGTGACAGTTCAGAGTTAATCATTATTAAAAAATAATAAATAGAAGAAGAAGAAGAGAACTCTTACAGAGTTAAGCTCGCCTGTTGTACATCTTTATTATATATATATATATATATATATATATATATATATGTATATATATATATATATATATATATATATATATATATATATATATATATATATATATATATATATATATATATATATATATATATATATATATATATATATATATATATATATATATATATATATATATATATTATATGTTGTAATTTTTTCTGTGTACAATAAAGAATAAATAAATAAATAATAAATAAAAAACAAATTGATATTCATAAGTTTATTCAAATTCAATGGACAATACAGAGTAATTATTGTCGAAATACAGCAGCCCCGTAGAAATAACAAAAACATAGTGTATCACAGTACATACAAAAAAAAAAAAATTAAATGGTCCACTTTAAGGGACATCATAAAACATATAGCAAATTGCATTATATAGCATACAACATTTATTTACGTCAAATATATAATTAACGTAATTGAACAGTTATAGAAAAAAAAAAATTAAGTACTTACATTTTATATTTATGAATCATAAGTGTACAATTTAGGTATATAAAATTATAATTGGAACAATCATTAATATTAAAATGTGGGATCACACTAATAATAATGCTGAAAAATCAATAGAACATAATTATAAAATAATAACTTACTAGCTAATTTGATAAAATCAATGTCAGTAGCATTTCTTTTTAAAAACAAAATAATAAAAGGGATAACAATAATGAAATTATCATAGTTTAACAAAATAGTTTACGATTGCGTTTAGTGTCTAGACTGATTAACTAATTCCAATATAATGAGCCTTGTTGTTAAGGTTGGGTTCATGTGAAGAGAGAACGACTCATAATGATTGAGCGTGAAATGTTGTTCACAGATAGAATAAGGCAGATTTCCAAGCAGTTGGAACAATAATGAATTAAAATCATAAGGCACCCCTTACGGAAACTATCAAAAAAGAATTAAAATCGTAAGGCACCCCTTACGTAAACTGTCAAAAATGAATTACAATCACAAGGCACAACTTACGTAAACTGTTAAAAATTAATGGCAATCATAAGGCACCCCTTACGTTAACTGTCAAAAAAGAATTACAATCGTAAGGCACGCTTTACGTGAACTGTCAAATATGAATGAATATTGTAAGGCACTCCTTATGTAAATAGTCAATAATAAATTACAATCGTAAGGCCCCCTTACATAAATTGTCAATAAAGAATTACAATTGTAAGGAGATCGTAATTCCTTATTGAGAATTGGCAAACAATAATATTTTCCAAAATTGAAAATACTTGATTAATACATTATTAATACTATAACTAATAATTCAGTATGCACAAAAAAGAAATCAAATTTAATATTATAAATTTGAAAATGCCAAATATATATATTCAGTTGTTAATAATGAGCATAGTTGATATTGTGTTACACAAAAGAAAACGACTTCAAAACTAGCAAAACTAGTTATTTTAAAAGTATTTTTATTATTTAAGAGTTTGATAAAATTTTTATGAAACCAATCTGTAAGTATAGCCTTTCAGATGATAAGGGAATTTTCCAAATCAATTTAGAACTGACGGAGTTATGAGGATAATAAAGATATAAAAAACAGCCGAACTGAGAACCTATTTTTTTTTGAGGTCGGATAAAAGTAAACTAAACACATGGGGCGGAAAATTAATATTTTTAACGATTCGTAATTTGATTGTAGAAATCCAAATTTATTTTGAAAAGTATTTATTTTCTTTAATAGAACACATTTTCAAACGGTTCAGTTTTCGTCTAAACAGATATCAAAAACAAAGGAATATGAATATTTAATGATTTCTCTGTGTTACTGAAGTAACCTATCTATTTATAGTTCGCGTCTGGCAACGCGTTTAATTACTACTAATTAATCAAAATATACTAACTTTAAAAAAAAAAAAAACTACTACAAATTCAAAGGAATAAAAAAATGTCAACCTTAGGGTTGCATCTCTATAAATATAATTCAGAACTCAAAATGTATTTTTTCTTCACAGACAAATATGCCTTGTCTATGCAGACGTTCAGATTTGTAAATAATATGAGTGTTTCTTAAAAATTTCTGTTGTTTTTAGGCGTTTCTTTAATCTGCCGGTGGGTAAATTGCCATATATAGTAAGTTAAGTCCAGTGTTGCCAGATTGGGTTTTTCAAAATTACGGGTTAAAATACCTAAGTCTCGCGGAGACGTGAGATAAAGAAATTTCTGTAGAAAAATGAAAGTTTTGACATTTGTAAAGCATATACAGTATAAATACAAAAAAAAGTAAAGTTAACGAATGAATACCAAATTAGGGAAAATGGAACAAAAATTACAGTACTATTTTGGAAAACATTTATAATGTAATGAGAAAAAGAAGTTAATTAAAAAATTGGGCACAAATAAACAGTCGTACATGAGAACGGTGCTCGAGTCCATGTGCCTGTGGGCAACAAAACGGGGCATTTTGTCTTCAGTGAATAAATAAACGACATCTGTACAGAACTTTACCTTGAAACTTGTAACGCAATACTTTTGTGTATTAAAAATTTCACTTGATTGAGGTATTTTACGAACGTTTGAAAATTACTACACCGCTTTCATAGTAACTAGTTATAAAGGCCACAGGAATGCCACGGGTCCACCTTCCCCTTCTTATAATTAATACTAACTTCTAAACAGAACAATGATGAACGAGTATTTTGGCACAATTCTTCGTACTTATGATTTTAAATTAAAAAAAAAAAATATCTTGGATCCCATACCTCAAGATGTTTATGTTACTTTTTTTTTGTTAAACAAAGCAAAAAGCGATATTTTTTCAGCGTTGCAAGCGATTACATTATAAAAACTTAAAATCAATTTTTTTTTTATTAAATGAAATGAGAACTATTTTTCTCATATAGTTTACTTATCATATATATATATATATATATATATATATATATATATATATATATATATATATATATATATATATATATATATATATATATATATATATATATATATATATATATATAGGTATATACATATTATAAAAACACTACCTAAATATTTAGAGGCAGGCTATAATCTAAGATGATTATAATAAGCATATCAGACTTGTTGATGGTGGATTCGATAAACATATTTACAAAAGAAACATATTTAAAAACAAAACAAAAAAAAAATTGAATTTATAAACACTAGGTACTACATAATGCCAAATATAAAGACAACGCTTCGGGTGTCATTTTTAGCAAGTGCAACGCCTATCCAATTTAGAGGTCAACTTCAAGTCAAATGGCAAAATTTTTATTTTAATGATTCTTTCTATTAAAATAGATTAGTAATGTATGTGAAATAATTAAGGTAAGGGTATGACAGGGCTTACATATCCTTATAGGATAAGAGCCTCTAAATAAAAAATATAATAAAAAATACCTTCGAGTCCCCATAAAAGTCGTTGTCCCCGAAATAAGAGGAGATTTTTTTATTTATTTAGGAGCCCAATTCCAAAACCATAACTACTGTACCCTTTTTAAAACTATAATATTAATATCAGTAAATTTAATAAACTACAGTTGTGTTTTTACGAATAAATGTCATTTTATTTATTTTATAAAATTCTCTCTGGGAACGTCAACTCAGATTAGACCTCAGATAGAGGTCTCGAAACCAAAAAAAACTTTAACACTTGCTGAAAATCACTCTTATTAAATTTACATAGCGTAACACACAGTTGGTGTAAGCTGTGTTAATTAACGAAAACTTTACTTTAAAACTAGTGTTAGTATTCGTTGATAGGGTCTCAGTAAAAAAATATTAAACCTAGAAAATATCTAAATTTAATCTAAACTAAAAATAAAGGTGTAATTTTCGAAAAAAAAAGGAACAACCTATATCTGCACTAACGGTACTACACAGTACAAGGTACACATACCTACCTATTACTATTTAGTGCCGTTAGAATAGATACAGGTTGTTCTTGTTTTATGAAATATTTTATTTTAGTTTTTTTTGTTTATTTAGTTGATGTCAAAAATTTTCTAGGTAAACAAATATTTTTTTTTTATTATATTACTGAGGTGGCAAGCAAGCATACAGCCAGTCTAATAGTAAACGGTTACTGTATCTAATGGTCGTCTGCAAGATTAGAAATGTCACGTGCGTTGCCGATCTTGGAGACACCTTAACATACTCTTAATGAATACTAACACTAGTTTTAAGGAATGGATTTCGTTGATTAATACAGTGTATATTAAATACACAATCATATAATGAAATCTTAACAAATATATCAATGTAAAGTAAGTACGTGCTGTGTAACCTAATAAGAATCAATAGTTACGTTTCAACTTAAACAATAGTTAACTACAAACTTAATATTAACGCGAGTTCAAGTACTCAAAATAGCCGTTTAGGATAATATTTAAACAAAAACATACTTTATTTAAACATGAAAATAAGCTCACTGATAATAATCCAACCTTATTTATTGTGGAGACATGAGGAGGCTTCTTGACATGACATGATTGCCCGGTGGATGCAGTTACTACAGAGATCGTCTCTCTAGTTATTATTCATAAGAGAAATGGCACGAAATATACTCATACATTTGAACAATCTATAATGTCACCTTTGAAATAAGTACTGGATAAGCACAATTATAAGTACAACACACCACAAATAATAATGAGAAAAAGAATATAAAAATAATAATAATAATACAACAAACAACATTCTGAAAGTTGACACATCGCATTGCGTTCAAAATAAAAAGAAAAAACATTCGCTGCGCAAAAAAAAAAATCGCATACGTCTGATGCGGGCAGCTCCGCTAATAATGCAATGTGATATGTCCACCCTTACCTAAGTTAGCAACCACTATCGAACCGTGAGACTCCTAGTTGCGCGAACCTGTGAGCGAGCGAGTGCTCGCGCGCAGCCTCTCCATCTGCGGTAAGCTCTAGTTACATTACAATATAAAAAGTTAATATAAAAACAAAAGCAAAAACAAAAAGACTTTACATAACTTTGGAATGAAGAATCAGTCTCCATTTTTCAAATGGATACGTCAGTGGAAAATAAATTAAACGAACCTTAGATTTAAATGGTCAGAATACGCACTTAACAACTTGAAAAAACTTTCGATTCATCATTCTGATGGCACGGGATCGTAGTTAAAGATGTCGGCTGCGGCCGCCGCGTGTGTGTTCTCATGTGGCGCGTGATCATGTCTCGGCGACACGCGGCGTAAGGGCACGACGGACACCGGTACGGCTTCTCTCCCGTATGAGTTCGCTGGTGCGTGGCCAGGTGGTCGGAGCGCGAGAATACCTGACCGCACGCCGAGCAGGCGTAAGGCTTCACGCCGCTATGGAGACGGGCGTGTCGCGTCAGCATATCGGAACGGGCGAACCGCCTGCTGCACACTTCACATTCATATGCTCTCGCCGCGTCGGGAGTTCTGTTTCGATGCCGCGACGCGACGTGTTTGGCGAGGCGGTCGTGAACCGCAAAGGTTTGGTCGCACGCGTTACACGAGTACGCAGTCTCCTTCTTTGGCACCGGCGGCGGAGGTTCCGACTTCACGGAGAGATCGAGGGGCGCTTCGTCTGTTGTTTTAGCGGGCACGTGCCAAGCTTGGTCGAGCATGAGCCAGTTGGGAGGCGGGTAGTGGTTATTGTTGCGCATTTGTACAGCGAGCTTGTCTAGCAGACGGGTGAGACGTCGCCGCTTGTGGAGGTGCCGTGGGCTGCGAGGGACCGACACCTCCGCCATGCTATCGGCGCACCCGCTGCTCTCGCCCTCCTCCTTTGCGCCCAGCCCGCTCCAGCCTGTAAAGTTAATACATTCCAATAATAACACAGTGTAATAGAAACGAGAATTTTTAGTAATCGGGTGCAAAAGTCCTTTTGATAGTAAAATATCCTAGCAGCGACGACCTTCACGCGGTTCCCCCTGGAAATCATCATGGTTAATTCTTGTTGAATTCGTCACAGTAGGTCACCTAACCTGTTTTCATCTTCGCCTATCATTTCTCACTGATGTCCAGCCAGCGTAAACCGATAGCGCAGGCGGGGTTACCATTCCATCTTCATCCATTAAAAAAAAAATTACCGCAAAGACCGTGATAATATGTATTAAGTACTAAATAGAACTATTTCTTTCAACGATGACAGACACATATTAGTAAACCCAATGGAGAGTAGCTTTAAAAAATATTTATACATTTATATAAAAATTTGATTAATTCATTACTAAAGATATCCGCCCATCTGCAAGTTTTTGGGCAGGTGATATTTTTTTTGCGTGTTATTGCTCTAGCGAAATGGCAAGACATGAGCAAATATAGATAATGTATTGCACCTTTGGCGCATCTGTCCCTTAGGCATGGTGGGCGAATCTTATCCCTCAATTCCTATTGGCAAAACGATTGAAATCCTGAACCAATCGTATGCCTTTGCCGCAATACAAAGGGATCCCCTAAGTTTTTGAAGCAAAAGATTATGCGAAGTACTTGGTTTAGACAAATTTTTTTTTCATGACTCTGTATACACAGTAGGTAAGGAAGAGGCGTAGCTAAAGCAAAGGGTTCGCCAAACCGGTCGACGAAGAAAAGGTTACTTGAATTGTCTGCTTGTTGGGGAGGCAACATTATTTACTCTTGAATAAAGAACCTTTATTGCCTTTTTTATATGCACAATTCGATTATGAGACGGAACATTTGTGTAGGGGCCTATTGACTAGTTTACGAACAAGAGTATAATGTGACCAACACATTTTAGAAGCGTATTAGCGAAATAGTTGATTTGTATATTAGTTATTTGTTACTAATATATTGAGTTTTGTAGTAAAACATTTACAGGTAAACGTTTGAATGGTCTTCTAAAAAAAAACTATTTTAAAATCGATCTATCTAACGAATATATTGACGCAGTTGGAATCTTAATAGAATTATAGTTTCATTATTAATTCTACTATCTATTTTAAACATTGTAAAAAATATAAATCATGCATTAGAATCTAACATACATATATACTTAATAGATAAGTAATAAAATAGAGATTGCATGTGTATAGAAGTGATAAGGGAAGGAATAGTTCGTTCTAAAACGAGAGCTCGTCAATAAAAGAATTCCACTTTACAGACAAATTAGGCCACATTGGACCGTTATTTCTGTAAGATTTCTTAAGAGACATAACAACGTTATGAAAAAGAAAGGAAACATCTATTTTTATAGATCGGGAGAAATGTCCACAAAGATGTTTCGTAGTAAGATTATAAAACAAAAATCCACGAAATTGGCCGGTTTAGAATTATTTAAATTAATATAGAGTTACCCCTAATAAATCTGGAATTTTATATAAACAGAAGTTTATACGAGATATTAATGAATATTTTAAAGCTCAAATATGTAACTCAATTAATGTAATTTGTAAAATCATTGTAATTTGTAATCTGTATAATTTATTATTAATGCGTAAATGTATTGACATGTTTATAATATGACGATTTAAGTAAAATAGTATTAGCATAGTATAATGGCACAATTAAATAAGTTTTGTACGCCAAATTCTGGTGAAAAATGTGAACAATATTTAAATATTGTTTACATTTTTCACCAGAAACTATTTGTATTTGTATATTATGTACCGTCTTTTATACCATTTTTCAAACAAAACAAAGCTATTTGTATTTGTATTTGAGATTTTTTTTTAATTGGAATATTGAACATTATTGTTACTATTCATACACTTACGTTGATTTCTTTTAGTGATTGATAAAATTAATTATGTATAAAATAAAATTGTAACAGTGTAGTATCAAGAGGTGAAGAGACTTGCTGAAAATCGTAGTGAGTGGCAAGAGCTCCACCGACAAGAGCGCAGCTCTTAAATAGGATAGATAGATAGAAAATAAAATTAACTATATCTACTTAAATATAACATAACATAAATTCGAAATTAACTTGTTCCATTCTTGTTTCGACTAATTTGTAAATCAATTCAAGTAAATCAGTCTCGATATGGATAATTGATAACAATAAAAATGTTAAGTGAAATTAAATTGCTTTATATCTATTTCTGTAACAAATATATGAAAGCTAATAAACATAGAGAATTTTTTTAATGGTTGAAAATGTTATGGTAACTCCGCCTGCGCTATCGGTATGCGATGGCGGGGCGCAAGTAAGAGACGACAGGCGCGGATGAAAGTAGGTCAGTTAGCCCATCCTGATGAATTCAATTTGAATTAACCACGACGGTATTAATGAGGGACCGCGTTGTGAAAAGCGTGTTATAGAACTGCTTGTAATTATCGTGAAATAAGTAAGTGTGTGCATTGTTTTTTTTTTTTTATTTTCTTAAAAATACCTAAATCACCATCGAATCTAAACTTATTTAGTATAATAAATACACAATGTGTTTTAGTTTAGTTCTTTTTTTGTAAATTAAGGTGAAGATGACAGTTTAATCTTATTCATTGATATATCAACTTATTTTAAATCCCGTCGCCAAAACAAGGATGCGGTTACATCCTTCTTTTTAGAAATTGTGCCTTGGTACCTCTTAACACGAGGTTGAGGGCACACCTAAGTTGAGGGCCAAGCGAATAATGTAATTGCACTTGTTAAATATAATATCTTTGTACTATTGGTTCTAATGAATTATAAAGAAGTATATAAAATTAGGCTATAAAATTAGTTTATATTATTAATACTGTTTCTTGTATTTTGTATAAAAAAAAATAATTTTTAATTAATATTTTATTTATATTTACCGTATTAAAATGTAGAAATAATATACATGTATGGTTTATTAATAAAAGCTATTATTTATAATATATCTATTTGTGGTCTAAACATTGGCATGATAGTTATCATTTTTATTATATATATTCTTTATTGCACTAAAACATACAGTAACAACAATAAGTTAATAACAATGTTAGCAAAGGCGAACTTATCTCTAAAAGAGATTTCCTCCAGTCAACCTAACACAGTGGCATAGGAAGTAGTAGTATTTTTACCTATTATTATATATGAAAAAATAACTACAAAGTAGTTAGTTGAAAGGTATAATTTCTTAGAAAAGTTCTTCATTAGGAAAATATAACGTACTTAGACATTGGGGCGAAATTAGGCCACCGCGCGCCATACCTTACAAGTTAGAGCTTTAGATGTTTATTTTTACAAGTTTTAAAAAGGTTATATTTTATACGAATATTAGTTAAGCAGATATATTGTCTTGTTTTTATAATGAATAAATAAATAACACATTATATCTCACTATTTTTAATTCATAATCGGAAAATTCATAGTACCTTACTTAGTATTGTTTTGAAGAACCAGTTTTTAACAATTTCAATAAAAAATCGTTTGTTTAATTAAAATTAGAGATAACAATAAGAAAAAACTGATATTGGAGAAGGAAAACAGGATAGAAAAACAAAGCTAACACGCGTGCATACCAAAATTAGGTTAGTGCAGTGAAAAAAATTGAAAAGTGGACACCTTTGATGTACAATTTAGGCCTAGCTTAGATATAAAATTATTGAAAACTGGTCAATATAGCATATATCTTTTTTTTGTATTTATATGATATTTTTGATAAAGAGTTATAGACTAGGTACTATTTAATTCAGTCACGAACTATGGGTCTCCATTGGACATGCACATATTCGATACAAGCGTTAATTATCATCCACTCGGTACGTACCTACTTATACGAATAGGTATTTATTAGAAAATATTATAGGAAATATTTACATACATGTTTCCAGACGTTCTGAATGCACTTTCTGTATGCTGGAATTTGATGCATCTATTCAATATTGTCCTTCACAATCACTATATATGTTTTGCGGATTTGCCTGCCACTGCTATTCGCGTGATGCACATAGTTTTAGCAAGTGAGCTGAGGTGCGTACAGTGAGTGGTAGGTAAGGTCGGCAGGTCGGGTGTGTGACCGTCGACCGGTCCCACCGCCCCCGCACCTTGCACGGAAACATTGGACGTTCACACGCAATCTGTGTGCATTTGTGTACGCAGCGGAACCGGCGTCCGTTGCGTCCCACAAGTCGCGGCAAACTGACAGACAGTGCGCCCGCGCCTCCCCCACCAGCACCTGCGCTGCGCACCGCTCGTGTTCCCGCGAAAACATCTATGCAATGCATCCATGGCGGCCACGGGCGAGCTTGGACAGCGGAAGCCGCTGCACTGCAAGATGCAGTGCATTGCTTATTTTTACCAGACCGCCGCAGTGTAAAATGAGCATTACATTTTGGTATTTTAAGTAGGTATTTAGAAAATAGACTAAAAACAATTAACAGAACTCTATTTACGTTTGAACCGGCCCGCTTGTAGTAATAGTAGCCCGTATCTATCTCACTACCTCTACACTTTACACTAGTATATTATTTATTTATTACATCCACTGGGTGAGCCTTGCAGTCTTGCAATACGTTCACCCAGGAAAGCATGAGTACAATAACATATAAAAAGGAATATTAAACAAAAATAATATAAAAAGATTTAACTGAAACAAAACAACGTCTGAACACAAATACTCTGTGGTCACTCGACGAAACTCCAGCAAGTTAGAGGCAAATATATCCCATTGTGGATACTGGCTCAAAATACCATTGAGTAGTTTCAATGCAAGAGATAGGGGAGCCTGCTTAGCCTCGAATAAGTGTCTACACTAACTATATTCTACTTAAAAATAGCTAAGTACTTTTAATGGGTGAAAATGGAATGGTAATCCCACCCGCGTTGTCGGTATACGCTGGCGGGGCACAAGTGAGGGATAATATGTCAGTATGAAAGCAAATACAGTCGGCCCAACGTGACGAATTCCGCAAGAATTAACTACCGATATATATATTGCCATTCCTGAGCACTCAGTCAATTAAATCATAATCATCATTATTTAATCTTTTTTTTTTTAATTATCCTATATACAGATATAGTTTAATGAATTACAATTTTATTGTTTTATATATATATATATATATATATATATATATATATATATATATATATATATATATATATATATATATATATATATATATATATAGGAACCGCATATCGATATACGGGGTATCATGGGCGAAACAGTATACTCTGTTATGTCCATGGTACTGTACATGTCTATAGGCGACGGTTACCACTTTCCATCAGGTGGGCCGTCAGCTTGTTTGCCATTCTAAATTGAATAAAAAAAAAACAACAAACAATTAACGGAAAATAAAATCGAATTTGGAACCTTCTGCCTATTTGCATTCGGTTGATATAGGAAAGGAAATTTTATCAGTCACATTTCAGCTTGCCATCACATTCTGCACCATGAATTCATGGTATTACAATTAGTGAAAGGCTGACGCGACATTGTAACGTGTGTGGCCAGCGTTGTATTACACTAACATGGTGTTATTTGATATTCACCTACAGCAATTGGTTAGTGCGCGTGACTCCTATAAAAACATAAAGCGTGCGATACAAATCACACCTGAAAAAAAAGAGGCTTTTTTAACAGGCTTCGAAAAAGGGAACTGCATCGAATTGCATCTGAATAACTCAAGTGGTATGGTTTTTAAATAAAAAAAAAAAAAACTGTTTTATTTTTTCTCCACGATTGAATTTGGTTTCTTTTTGTGAAAGAAAATGACACTGTGCGTTTTATTTATAAAATAAAAAGAAATAATTTATAATTGCGTTCCAAAAAAACACAAACTTTTTTTTGATGGGTGAAAATGGTATGGTAACCCCGCCTGCGCTAACGGGATACGCTGGCGGAGCACCAGTGAAGGGTGATAGATGAGAATGAAAACAGGCCAGTTAGCCCATCATGATGAATTCATCAGGAATTAACAATGATAGTTTCCAGGGGGAACCGCGAGGAGGACGACCTGGTTGGGTATATTGCTAGCAATGGGATTCTCAGTCTTCATTACTAACAATCCCTTTCCCCCCAAACACTGACTTCAATTGTGGCGAAATCAAGTTGTTTTGATTTGAACTCTAAATTACTGAACAGATTTTGATAAGATTTCTATGGAAACGATCTGCAAGTATAGTCTTACAGGTAAAAAAAGAATTTTTCAATTATATTTAAAACTGACGGAGTTATGAAGTAAGAAACATTAAAAAAATATACAACTGAATTGAGATTTTTTTTTATACAACTTAGAATGGCAAACAAGCTGACGGCCCACCTGATGGAAAGTGGTAACCGTCGCCTACAGACATGAGCAGTACCATGGACATAACAGAGTATCCTGTTTCACCCATGATACCCCCATGCATTGCCATTCCTGAGGACTCAGGTGTTATTCCTCTGTACCCTGTAAATTCACGCCTATTATTCTTTTTCAAATTGTTTGGTAGATACCATGTTCTATACTATACACAAATGTATTCCAATTTTAAACATTAGCGCAGTCTTGACAGAGGAAGTGGGTAAATGGTAACTAATCGTTCATAAATCAATCATATCTTTATCTAATCTTGAGGATATATTTATTTGCTTGCCAAAACGCACATAAAATTAAAAAAAAAAGGTTGCGTTCCAATTTGATTTTGTTGGGAAACTAAATTATTTTTTCTTTTCGATATAATGAGACTACAGCATGGGGTTCGTCAATAGGGGAGTAAGAAAAGAAAAAAGAAGAAGTAAAATGTGGCAAACACGCATTTTTTTTTTGTTTATACAACTTAGAATGGCAAACAAGCTGACGGCCCACCTGATGGAAAGTGGTAACCGTCGCCTATAGACATGAGCAGTACCATGGACATAACAGAGTGTACTGTTTCGCCCATGAAACCCCCCATGCGTTGCCATTCCTGAGGACTCAGATATTATTCCTCTGTACCCAGTAAATTCACGCCATATCCCACCATTCAAACCGAAACACAGCCATGCAAACACAACTGCTTCACGGTTGAAACACGAATGAGATAGAGGTGCTCAAGCAAACGACTTTTGTACAAAGTCTCCCTCTGGTTATTATTGAAATAACAACAATAATTACAGTTACAGTGAAGGAGAGTACCAATATTTCCTCATAATACTGTACACCCACTCGTATTTCTTCGTATTCATCACCTATCTTATTCTTTGATGGCGTGGACAGCAACTACGAGTCCATGGATATTAAATATGTTACTGTAAAAATCTGAACATTGATAAATTTTAAATTTAACTAGTAAATCTTTTATTTTTATTTTATATTCCTTTATTAACCAATGTAACATTTTTCGCCACACAATGTCAAGTCAATATTTACATTACAATTTTTAAATTAATAAAATAAATTATAACAATTGTGTAATATAATAACAAATTGTTATGTTCATGGTACTGCTCACGTTTATAGGCGACGGTTACCACTTTCCATTGGGTGGGCCGTCAGCTTGTTTGCCATTCTAAGTTGTATAAAAAATCTCTGTTGTAATTAGAGAAAATTTTTGATTTACCGTAAGTTTTACAGTAACAGACATAAAATTTAGACACGTTTAGTGCGCGGTGTTCGTCGGTGATCAGAAAGGCTTTTTTTAAATAGTTGATGATGGAATGGTGACTTCGACTGCGCAAACGATATACGCTGGCGGGGCATCAATGAGGGATGATAGGTGAGGATGAAAGCAGGTCAGTTGGCCCATAGTGATGAATACTTAAAAAAACAATTAAGATGGTTTCCAGAGGGAATCGTGTGGAGGTTGATCTAATAAGATATATAATCTATAAGTATGTAGGTATATTTATATATGTATATTTATATTTGTATGTATTTTTATTACATATTTGTATATTTATGTAATATTTGTTTAATATATTCATGTATGTATATGTATATAAACATTATGTGCAGTAGTTCTCTATTGTATGTGTTATAATTTTTTTCACCGCATAATAAAATTTCTGTTTAGCCAAAGGTTGACTGGAAAGAACGCTATATAAAATTAAGTCCGCCTTTTGTACCAGACTTTTTTTGTAATTTGATCAATAAAGAATAAATAAATAAGATATATTGTTAACAATGGGGCCTCTAGTCCCATTACTAACAATCCCTCTCCCCCCTGATCAAGTAAAGTTAGGTTTGGCTTGATGAAAGCTCATAAAATTATTTTCTTTTATAAAATTCTTACATTTATCAACTATTGTTGGTAAACCTTAAGATTTACCTATGTAAGGGGTTTTACAGTAACATACATACATATTATACATATTATACAGTACATATTATATGTCAGCCTTGACATTGACACCTTACATCATCAAGATAGTAATCTGCTGATGTTGAAAAATGTTGTATCGCCCCTGTCGCCATCTAGCGAGTACATTTTTTATTGAAATAAGAACTATCCCGTCTTTCGATCAGCGTATATTGTTTTTATTATTAATTTTAGTGTATTTATTATATAAATTTATTGTGTTAACATTACTCTTTAACAATAAATAATAATTAGATAAAAGTTTCTTAAATCGATAATTAGCATTGTATTTTCGTGTGGTTCCGCCATAGAATAGACCACCCCTTCCTTTCCCGTGGGTGTCGTAAGAGGCGGCTAAGGGAGGGCGACGGATGGATGCAGCGTCCCTATTAAAATATCTGAGTCCTCAGGAATGGCAATGCGTTGGAGGTATCATGGGCGAAACAGTATACTCTGTTATGTCCATGATACTGCTCATATCTTTAGACGACGGTTACCTATTTATACTTATTAACTATTATTATACTTTTACCAAAGGGAGACTGTACAAAAGTCGATTGCATGGGTACCTCTGTCCCATTCGTGTTTCAACCGTGAAGCAGTTGTATTTGCATAGCTGTGTTTCGGTTTGAAGGGTGGGATATGGCGTGAATTTACAGGGTACAGAGGAATAACATCTGAGTCCTCAGGAATGGCAATGCGTGGGAGGTATCATGGGCGAAACAGTATACTCTGTTATGTCCATGGCACTGTTCATGTCTATAGGCGACGGTTACCACTTTCCATCAGGCGGCCCGTCAGCTTGTTTGCCAATCTAAGTTGTGTAAAAAACAATATTTAAAGCCTAACTGCGGTTGCCAGTCCGCCTGTCAAGCGTGGCA